GAAATCAGGATTTTAAAAAGATTCCCAGGTGATTCTAATGTGCAGCCAAGGTTGAGAACCACTGCTCTAATCACTGATGTCCTCGTGACTACCATCCCTACTGCCAGGCGGGTGGCTGCTGCCAGGTATTCCCAAGAGTCCGTGGGTGCAGTTGGGTCTCTGAGTTAAGTCACTCCCACCACAACTAGACCTATTCGGTTCTTTTGGGGAGATTATTTTTGAGACATTGGGGTGAGGGGGAAGGGTGATCAGTTCCCTTCCTTACCCATTGTTTTGTTTAGCCTAATGTGCACCAAGCCAGCTGACTCTAATCAGGCTCACGGGCTCTCCCTTACAATATAAGCTACAGGAAACTTTGTTGGGGACAGTTACCCTTGCTTCTTGGACCTAGAGCTTCTGCTTCATTTACCTGAATACTTGACTTAGTTCAGAGGCCAGACCTGATGCCTCTTTCTTTGTGCCTCCGTGGTGGTTGTGCATTGTAACAAGGCTCCCCTTCGGGTTCCATTGACTTTGGGCTTTCTCTGCAGCAGCTTCCTAATGTACATTTGAACAAGTTCTCACTCAGAAGGAAGGAATATATAAAATTCTGCTCTTTCTTAAGTACTTCTCCAATAGAAATGTGAAATTTAATTTGCTAGAAGGTGCCTACTTATTACAAAATACATTAGTTCATTCTCTCCTGAACTCACAGTAAATGCAAGAGTTTCTTCCTCCACAAACTATTCTATGTGGATTTTCTTTGTACTCTGATTTTTTTTTCCTGAATAGCAGACATTTCTATTTAAAATGTTATTTTGTTCATTTTGGGACTTGGAACCTAGATGCAGATACCATCAACTAAAATAGTTAATTATTAAATTAAGGAAGGTATCAGCTCTGGTACTTCTCTACCCCCCCCAATGTTACAGTTGAGGTCATTCCCTAAACAGTGACCATTTCAGTTTTTGTTGAAAGAGTCCTGAATAATTAGAGAGAAGGTGAGCAGAAATCCAATGGAGTAGAACAAAAATGAATTGTTGAATTAATTAATTAATTAATTAATACAGTAGCTGCCAATACCAAGGGAGGAATGTATATGTATGTTATACTTATTAGTAGCTTACTACACTTTATTACATTATTTGATAAATATTCCATATAAATAGATTTTAGTAGACTTTTGTGAGATTGAATAGTTCAATTGATAGAGTTAAGGTGACAGCGTTTGGCCTTCCCATCCTATGTAAACCATACAAGTAGTATAAGTACTGTGTGTGTTTTTTCATCTCTTTGAATGCCCTTTAATGCTATATATATATTTTTATTTATTATGCTTTGCCTAGTTGGATACACAATGAATGATCTCATTTTTGAATGGCAAGATGAGGCACCTGTACAAGTGGCAGAAGGACTCACTCTGCCCCAATTTCTGTTGAAAGAAGAGAAAGATTTACGATACTGCACTAAACATTACAACACAGGTATGCTTCATTACAACTTGTGGTTTTATGGTAGTCAGATGTTTCTTAATTGTAGTGCTAGGTTAATTATTTTCACTATTTATAGCTCAATGTTTTCCATAGTAATGGAGTAGAAAATGGAAAGTTACAGGTGCTTTGACTTATTGCCTATTGTTATATAACCAGTCTGTATGGGACCAAAGAAATGTTTGGTGTTTAATTACGTTTACATATTTTTTGTGAAAAGCTCATAATTACATAGTAATGATGTTTCCAAAAAAGTTCCTTTAATTTCTATGTGAATAATAAAATTTACTTTTAACGCTTCTTGGGACATAAACATTGTGTTTGTTAACAAAATGAAAGAAATTGCTTTCTTTTTAATTTTTAAGACATCAGTTGTCTAAAGTTTTGGCCACAATTTCATGCATTTAAGGTATTGGTACTTAAGCACCTACTATTCACACTGACACAGTTATCTTTTGCCTTTGAGGATAGAAGCCAAATATAGTTATTCACATAATGGATTGAAAGATTCAGTACATTCATGAGATCTGTTCACCTCTATCAGCTGACACGGGGGGTGTTCCATAATATCTACACTAACTGTCGAACCTATTCCTACACATTCTGTTAAACTGTCCTCCACGGAGGCAACCCTCCTATGTGGTTAATGCGTGGCCTCCCACCTGCATCAGCTGCTGTCTTTATCACTTTATTACAGTAACTGATTCTTCTTGGGCTCAGCATTTCCCAGAACTGTGATCTGACCTTTTACTATACAAGGCCTCTAATCTTTTTTGCCTCTTAATCAATTCACAGTCAGGCGAAAAAATCGCTGCCATTTTCTCACCCCTACCACAGTTCTTCAGGGGTGAGGCTCATATTAATTTAGTAGAGAGTTCAAGTTTAACATCTCTACACAACAACAACGAGCAGACAGGTCAACACCAGTGTCCTTGCTCAACCCTCTAGGGGCAGTTTTAATGACAAAGAACTTTCAGAGAAATGCTAAAAAGTATCTAGAGTTGGTTTTGGGTGATGGATTCGTTTCTTCAGGCCGCTGTAAGAAGGTGGCACGAACTTGGTGGTGTCCCTTGCCCCAAACCCTCTTCTGCTTCTCCTTGCCTTGCTCTGTAAATGGTTACAGTGGCTCACCTTCTCATATCCGCCACACTCATTCCTTCTTTAGGTCCTTTGTACTTGTCTTTCTTCTATGCACAAGCCTCTTTCCCCAAATTATCCCAGACCTAATACTCTCACATACTTCAGGGCTGGTCTTCAAATGACCCTTCATCACCAGCACAGGATAAACACCCAAATCCACTTCCTTCCTCCTCCTGTTTTCACTGTCTGAAATTATACCTTCAATTGACATGCTTACTTATATATTATCTGTTTCTCTCATTACCATAAATTAATAAAGCTAAGGATTGTATCTCTTCATTTCTGTATGTCTGGGATCTGCTAAAGTACACAGATGCTCAATAAATATTTATTGAGTAAAATAATAGAGTGGATTTTAACATGGAAAATTTGTCTGTACATGTGAGAATACTAAAAGCCTGTCCACCCCAGGAGGAAGGGGGAGAGGAACCGTTTTTACTCTAAACAGGAAAATTTTCCTTTCAATCTGTATCAACAAAAATGCTTCCTCTTCAATTTTATTGAGGGATAATTGACTAAAATTGTAAGATTATCAGTGTACAATGTGATGATTTGATATAAGTATACACTATGAAATGATTCCCCCCATTGAGTTCATTAACATGTTCATCACCTCCCATATTTACTTGATGTGTGCATGCAAAAACATTTAAGTTCTAGACTCCTAGCAAATTTCAATTATACAGTACAATGTTACCAGCTATAGTCACCATGTTGAACATAGCCTCACAATGAGGGCTTTTTCTTGAGAATCATATGAACTGTAAAGAATGTATTCAAAGTACCCAAGTGGTTAGCAATTGTTACTGATTACACCATGAGATTACTTGAGTTATTTAACAGTTATATCACAAAAATGCCTTATTATTCTTGCTCTATTTTATTTCATTATTTTAAAGAAAAACTTAAAATTACATTTTAAGAGTTTTAAACATCTAAAGTATTTTCATATACTCTAAGAATGGTTCAACATTCTGTATGTATTTGATAAATTCATGAAAGGATCATGTGTAGCTGGCATATATGTTTCTGACTACTAGACACTTAAGTGTGGAATCCAACTTTCCCAGAGTTTATGAAACTCTGCAAAGACTTTTAAGCTCTGGAATCTCATCCATCCCTTCTTCCTGCAGCCCAGACCATGCAATACTGTAGCATGTGGCTCAGGTCACTATAATAGAAATTTTGTACTGAACCCTACACTAGCAATATATATACTAGCAATTTTCCCAGCTGTGCTCTCTGATTCTTTCTCTTATAATAAGATTACAGAATGCCCCTTAAAAAAAGACCAGTGTGCTAACTCCCTGACCTTATCCTTCTTAAAATAGTTTGAATAAGGGAAGAATAAAACCAAGAGTTAGATGATTAAGATAAACAATTATTTTAAGGAGAGATAACATGGCAATAGAGTAGGGAATAGAACCAGGGGATAAGCAGAAATGTCAACAAAATGTTTACTTAAACCACAATTTATGCCTCTATTAATTACTCTAATAGAGACACAAAGGCGTGAATATATAAGACAAATGTATCTTAGGTGTCTTTTTATTAGGTGTGTTCTTAAGTTATGTTTGAAGTTATCAATGGGAAATAATATGTTTTCCTATTTGTTAGCATTAATAGTTTCTAAATTATCAATGCATAAAATAAATTACAGATATTGCATTTAAGGAACTATTCAACTTCAATTGTATTTATCCTTTAGCACTGACTTTAAAGTCAATGTAAAGGCTTCTGGAACAAAATAGTAGTACCTGACTCTAAATAAATACTTGAAAGCACCAGAAACAGTCAATGAGCAAGAAAACAACAACACAGTCACTGAGTAATTTGTCTCATCAATCTCAGAGGTATTTGTTAGAATCAAGTGAAATAATAGACCTTTGAGTAGTTTGACAAGGATGCAGTGTTAATCAAGTGTGAAGTAATAAGAATACTATGCTATTTCCTGAAACAGTACATTCTCTTGTTGCTTCTAGATGCTAGCAGAAAAAATACTTTTCAGAAATGGATTTGCATATATGATTTAGGATCTCTTTTTGTGGTAATGGAAAATTTTAGGACAAAATTATGGGGGGGAAAAACCTGTGAGATTTGATGCCAAAACAAAGACCTACTTTTACCAATTACTGCCTTTATTTTGCAATCAATTAGGAAAGTTTACATGTATAGAAGTGCGATTCCATCTTGAACGACAAATGGGATACTATCTGATCCAGATGTATATTCCCAGTCTCCTGATTGTTATTCTGTCGTGGGTTTCATTCTGGATCAATATGGATGCTGCTCCGGCCAGGGTAGCTTTGGGAATAACTACTGTGCTGACTATGACCACACAGAGTTCAGGATCCCGAGCTTCCTTACCAAAGGTAAGTGCACACAAAGGACATACAAATATATTAATTAGCCCAAATATGTATAGATGCATAGTTATATACATATACATCATTGTTAGTTTTTGTCAGATCTTTTTCATTAGTACTTATTATTCATTGCTGATTTTTTAAATATATTTTATTGATTTTTTACAGAGAGGAAGGGAGAGGGATAGAGAGTTAGAAACAATGATGAGAGAGAAACATCGATCAGCTGCCTCCTGCACACCCCCTACTGGGGATGTGCCCACAACCAAGGTACATGCCCTTGACCGGAATCGAACCCGGGACCCTTCAGTCCACAGGCTGATGCTCTATCCACTGAGCCAAACCGGTTAGGGCTCATTGCTGATTTTGAGTAATGACCAAGGCAGAAACATTTCTAAAACACAAAAATTGATAAAGAAAAATAATTTGCACATATGCATAATCGATGAACACAGACAATAGTGTGAAGAAGGCCTGGGGAGGGTGGGAACCAGGTGGATGGGGCAATAAGGGGGACATCTATAATACTCTCAACAATAAAGATAAATGAAAAAAAGAAAGAAAAAAAGTTTGCAGACCAAGATATCATACATTCATAGTTATGACCCCCAATTATTTAAACATCAATAATACTCTGATACACTATAGAATTTTATATGTATAGATTTTTTTACATTTAGAAACCTATCAAATGTGTAAATAAAGTAAATCTATACAGTAACTTTATTATTTATTTTTAAAAATATTTTTATTGATTTCAGAGAGGAAGGGAGAGGGAGAAGGAGAGAGAGAAACATGAATGATGAGAGAGAATCATTGATCAGCTGCCTTCTGCATGCCCCACACTGGGATTGAGCCCACAACCCAGGCATGTGCCCCAACTAGGAATCAAACCATGGCCTCCTGGTTCGTAAGTTGATGCTCAACCACTGAGTCACACCATCCAGGCTATACAGTAATTTTAAATGATCGCACAATAATCCATTGTATGGATGTACCATAATAATATACTTACTATTAGGACTCACACAATAATGAACATTCATATAATGAATGTTATAAATATGCATAATATACTGGTATACGTATATGTGTGTATATGTACATGTGCACACATATATACATGTACATATATAATTTTATATTTATTTGTATCATTTTCTTAGTGTAAATTCTTAGAACTGGAATTGCTGCTCAAATAGCTGTAAACATTGAAATGTATTGCTAAATTTCCCATCAGCAAAATGTATAGCAATTACACTTCACAAGTATTGTATGGCAGTGCCAATATTGCTGCACTCTGAGTTAAATATATTATTTTGGGGTATGTTTTTCCCCCTCTGCCTTTAAGCAGCCACAGGTCAATAAAAAAGAAAGCTTATCTAATACCTAATACCACAATTTTAGTCCATGCTGAGCTGCCAGAATTAAAATAAACTATTTTCTTTATGAGGTTTGTAAAAGACCCCATTTTTTTCAGAAGATATGTTGAAATAAAACATAGTCTCTCTTTCAATCTATTTAGCAACATAACAATAGAAAATTATTTTCTTCTTCTCAATGACTTCTAAGAAAGACATTTCTCCTCTCTAAATTAAGTAATTCTATCTAACTTGCAACAGGCTTCTCTATTTCCTTTGCAATGACAGAGATATAATAAAATAAATATTCACTTGCCCGACTCTTGTGGCTCAGTGGTTGAGCATCAACCTATGAACCAGTAGGTCACAGTTCGATTCCCAATCAGGGCACATGCCCTGGTTGCAGGCTTGATTCCCAGTGTGGGGTGTGCAGGAGGCAGCCTAACAGTGATTCTCTCTCATCATTGATGTTTCTCTCTCTCCCTCTCCCTTCCTCTTTGAAATCAATAAAAATATATTTTTTAAAAATGGTATTCACTTTTCTTGTGCATTTGATGCAATCTAATTACAATATTAAGTACATTGTAAATGTACAGTCATGGTCCCTTAACCCTTCCTATAAATTGCATTCTATATTTCAATTTATTAGATTAAAATGTTTCAATGAATAAAAGTTGATGACAGAATGTTTTATTATTAAAAATGTTATTTAATATAAGAAGAACTTGATATTTAGCGATGCTCCTTCTGCTTTGTTAAGATCTAATGGTTGCCTTTCAAAATAAGGTTTATTTTTTAAACACTGAATTATATTTTCAAAATTATGCATATCAAGTAATGTTTTAAAAAATATTGCTTAGTGAAAATTGTAAATCTGCATATAAGATTAAACTAATTCATCTCAAGGCTTATTTATACAGTGGTGGGCAAAAGTAGGTTTACAGTTGCATTGTGACATTCTTTTGAGTGATTGAAGCGATTATAATCATAACCTGCATGTCTTTTTCCATAAGAATAACTGTAAACCTGCTTTTGCCAACTCCTGTATATGTCTAAATGTCTCAAGGGCTCTCTGAGTAATTTGTAAAGGAAATTGCCAGTTTACTCATTGATTTTCCTCATGAGCTAAACAGAAATCAAAGTTCATTTGTTCTGTAAGTTGGCAACCAGAAAGAAGAGCACAAAATGCTTTATATTAGGAAATTTCAGTTTCTAAGAGGCACAGTATAAAGATATTTGGATACAGAGATTAAGGCAGGATTGGGAGATCATAGAGATTTGAGTGAAGGAAGAAGAGATTTTAAAAAAGCAATAAATTATAAAAAAATTAATGAAGACACACGTTTTGTTTTTTGTTTTTAAAAGAAAGAAGGATTGGGATGATTTTAAATTTTTTCTCAAAAATTAAGAAAGATTTTTAAGGCATTTATTTCACTGTGATCTCAGGGAAAGAATGCACTTTTCCCTCTTAGTTTAATTATATACATAAATGTGTAGAAAACCTCTACATCTCTCAAATTATAGGGACAATGGCCACTGGAAATGTGATAACATTTCATTCTGAGCTACAAAAAAGAATTGATTGGTAAGGTGATATCTTAAGAGAAGGTGACCATATCATTTTAGGCTTTGCGATAATTGAGGAATGGAAGGATGAGCATATTCAGTTATATACATTTCAGGGAAGGCAGATGGTGAATAGCCAGAGTAAACAAGAATTAACCTATTGAGATGAAATCATTTAAAAGAGTAGAACATTTTTTAAAATTTCTGATTCTGTGATGGGGTAGGGAGGGACTAGAAAGGCAAGATGCAAGAGTCTTACATTTGCACTTAAAAACAGATGTCTGAAACCTTGGACCTTAAGATCTGCTACTCTCCACCTCACAAAAGAAGTCTCAGATGCCGGAAAGACTGACCACTAAAACAACCACCATTGTCCTACTGACAAAATCTAGGAAGCAGGAAAACAAATTAAATTCAGGAAAACAATAGGATTATCAGGCGTTGGAGGAAGAAACAATAAATCATTAATTTATGATAACTGCTTAGTGTTTTGTCCTGGCTCTGTGCCAATAAGCTCCTGTAGAATAAGAATGACTCAGAGTAGAAAGTGTCAAAGAACATACTTTAGCCAGCACCTTGGGAACTACACACCTGAGAGCCCTCTCTGACACTGGCCTCTACAGTGTCATGAGAAATGAAGCATGGAATAGCCCAAAGCAAGAAGACCCCCCTGATTCATTTCTTGGAACTAAAAACTACTTGGCATGTCTGTAGTGCCTTCATCAGTGGCCCAGTGAGGGTGACAATGCATTCTCTTGGGAACAACTTTTCAAAGTTGTATATTTTGATGAACACTTCCTAACACTGGACGAGAGTGAATGAGAAAACGGTGGTGGTTGTGGGCCGTGGTAAAGATTAGGTTTATTTGGGGTGGTTTTGGAAGGATTTTAATAATCGGTGCGATCTCTCTGACTTACCTGTGGAGATAGATAGAAGGGGTGGAAGTGGAAGCAGAGCAAACTATTGTCCAGAGCAGATGATGGTCTGGCTAGATTGGTAGCAGCAGAGATAGATAGTAGCAGATGGATTTAGAACTAGGTAGATATTTTTTTGTGAAGGTGTATAGAGGGTGAAATAGACATGATTTACTTATGAACTGGACATTGAGGATTGATGAAAAGGCAGGAGTGAAGCGTATCATTTGGGTGAGTAACTGGGCAAGTAGTTGTGAGAGATACTGATGGGGAAGTTTGGTGAAGGTAACTGATCTCTGGTTGAACATTTTAATTTTGAGATCCTTATAAGATAACCACACGGAATTGTCAAAAAAAAGTCAAAACTTCTAAATTTCTGACCAAGGACATGTAGACCTCAGACTTCAGGGAGTAAACTGTAGCTGGATAGAGATAATTTTCCTAAGTATAAATGAAAGCCCAGAAAGAGGAGGAAAAGATGTCTTTGTGGCTGGCCCTCCTCCTCCTGTTGGAAATGGACTTGAACATATAAAGTGTTCTCTCTCCTTTCTTCCCCCATGGCCATATCTACCCCATATGCAGAACAAGTATTCAGTTTAGTTAAAGGTAAGAGCCACTCACCCCAAACTTTTCTTTCATACTCTTTGAGATCTCAACATTGTGTGGTATTTTAAAGAGATGTAAACATCTTTCCTGGAAGGGTTAAGTTTAATCAGGGTAAAAAGGGGGATGATAATAATTATTTAATTACTTTTTAGTATAAATTTGATTTATACTAATACCTTGTTAAGATCTTAGAGTGGGGGGATTATATTCTTTATTAAGCATGGGGTGGCTAGAAATAAAAGAGAAGGGACAAAATATTATTTTAATTTAGAACAATGGGTTCTAGAAAGAACCCACAGTAGGGAACTCTAGGAAAACATGGGTATTCTGCAATATTACATACACTTTACCCCTTCTTTTCTGCTTCCAAAGATCAGTTATTTCCTATTAGAGACCTACTCCCATTCCTTTTTCATTCTGTTTCATAGGGACCAGCTAAGGTCTAGCTCTGGTTCGTGTTTTCTGTTTTGTATCATTCACAGAAATACATGAGTGTCACCATGTACACACTAGTTTAGTCTTTTAGAAACGAGCTTCAAACCCATTATCATATCAGAGA